TTCGTATTGGTGCCATTCGATCTACGAAACTCAGCACGACTTATGATTCACACCACCCAGCCGGCCTGATCCGACCTAAGAAATCAACTCCAGTTTGACTTCTTTCATCCACAAAAATGTACACTCGGTTGACCAGACCGAATGAATGGTCTTCACACCAGTGACAAGCAAAACACTAATCCAGCCCAACAGAAGGCCCACATGCCTTCGCCACTAGGCCACTCTAAAATAACATACACGACGTAGTGCACCTACAAGTAAAGAAACAACAGTTCATTCATCCAAGGAGACAGCATCAGAAGTCAAAATGGTCAAATGTTACATATATAACATCAAACGGCTGTTATAGTCATGAAAATGACTCTATTTTGGTGATAAAAATACCCCATTTGTGATTAAATTGAAGTATATTGAGACAATTAAATAATTTATGAATTTATTCACGAAAATCGCTTCCTAATATTTTTCTTATGAATTTAACGTGTTTGGAATGATTTTGGAAAATATATGAGTTGATATTGGGTTGTGGTTTATGGATTAAGGGTGATTTTGTCTCATTTATGCTGTTTAGGGGGTAAAATGTCATGTTTTAAGGGGCTGATTTTGTCACTTTTCAATTGTGTAGGGACCAAACTGATATTTTATAATATGTTCTATAAAAGAAAAGTGCAGATCGCGTGAACAGGGAGGCTGCCATCCATAAAGTTTTTCGACGACCCTTCGTCTTCCACCTCCGACGACTCTTCGGCTTCCTCGACCATAGATCACCGTCATCCCATCGTCCCAGACCACCACCGCGAAACACGGAAGCTGGCGCGACGTTTCATCTTCCCTCCATCGTGTCGTTTCGTCTTCCCAGCCAGTTTTGGCCGTTTTTCGATGACGATTCGGCTCCCTAAGGGTCGATCCACCTTCCCCACTGTCGGATCTTCACTTCCTTAGCTTCAGCCGCTGCGAAAACCGCCAGAATCCGTGATTTAGCCGTCGAGACTCTTCATCTTCCAGGCTAGATCCTGCTCATTTCCGACGACTTCTCACCTCCCCAGGACCTGATCTGAACTCCCTATCACCAGAGCTTTCCATCGGTACCTTCGGATCCCATTTCCGCCACCGTTTTCCAGAGACCCGCCAAAAAATTAACTTTTTCCGGCGAACTACGGCTGTTCGTATTCCGAGCTGTCCGTTGGTCATTTTCGCCCCTTCTTTGCATCATATCACTGTCGGTTACCTCCTCTCCGCCATGGCCAGCTCCGTTTCCACCGTTTCGGCCTCCGTCATCACCACCATGAGCGGCTAAGCTCCCGTTTTTCTGTTATTTCATAGGCGAGATTGGGATTGACTCTACGACTCTCCTCATCAGCTCTCGACTAGTTGGATGAGCCCGATTATAGGACATTTGGTAGTATTATGCTTCGGATTATATTTGTTTTCGTTTCATGATTGATTTCGATACTTTAATATGATTTGAGCATAACTTGTGATGAATATTATTGTCCATTATGATTTAATGTTTTTATAGAACTTTCTGAATGATAAACGTTGGTTTGGAATAATTAAATGATGAATATTGCTTTTCATTACTTCCCATCGATTGTAATTGAGTTGTGTTCGGATTTAATTTAAGTTCTACTATTGTTGCGTTTATTGTGAAGTTGGTTGATTGGATATTACGTATTGACAAATTGTATTTGTTAATCGCGTACCAACTAGTGGTATTGCCTTATAGCGTTTATCGACGTTCAATGATAGTCTTTAACCAATCGAACTTGAGTGATCGGGTGAGACATGATAGATTATACCTAGAGTGTCGGGAAACCATTTCATTGATTTACCTTGCCTTGTAGGTTTAGGGGATCGTAGAGGGTGGAGGAGAATTGTGTGAGTCNGTTTATGGATTAAGGGTGATTTTGTCTCATTTATGCTGTTTAGGGGGTAAAATGTCATGTTTTAAGGGGCTAATTTTGTCACTTTTCAATTGTGTAGGGACCAAACTGATATTTTACAATATGTTCTATAAAAGAAAAGTGCAGATCGTGTGAACAGGGAGGCTGCCATCCATAAAGTTTTCCGGCGACCCTTCGTCTTCCACCTCCAATGACTTTTCGACTTCCTCGACCACAGATCACCGTCATCCCATCGTCCCAGACCACCACTGCGAAACACGGAAGCTGCCGCGACGTTTCATCTTCCCTCCACCGCGTTGTTTCGTCTTCCCAGCCAGTTTTGGCCATTTTCCGATGACGATTCGGCTCCCTAAGGGTCGATCCACCTTCCCCACAGCCGGATCTTCACTTCCCTAGCTTCAGCCGCCGCGAAAACCGCCGGAATTCGTGATTTAGCCGCCGAGACTCTTCATCTTCCAAGCCAGATCCTGCTCATTTCTGGCGACTTCTCACCTCCCCAGGACCTGATCTGAACTCCCCATCACCAGAGCTTTCCATTGGTACCTTCGGATCCCATTTCTGTCATCGTTTTTTTTAGATCCGTTGTAAAATTAACGTTTTCTGGCGAACCGCGGCTGTTCGTATTCCGGGCTGTCCGTTGGTCGTTTTCGCCCCTTCTTTGCATCATATCACTGTCGGTTACCTCCTCTCCGCCATGGTCAACTCCGTTTCCACCGTTTCGGCCTCCGTCATCACCACCATGAGCGGCTAAGCTCCTGATTGTCTGTTACGGCATAGGCAAGATCGGGATTGACTCGACGACTCTCCTCATCAGCTCTCGACTAGTTGGATGAGCCCGATTATAGGACATTTGGTAGTATTGTGCTTCGGATTATATTTGTTTTCGTTTCATGATTGATTTCGATACTTTAATATGATTTGAGCATAACTTGTGATGAATATTGTTGTCCATTATGATTTAATGTTTTTATAGAACTTACTGAATGATAAACGTTGGTTTGGAATAATTAAATGATGAATATTGCTTTTCATTACTTCCCATCGATTGTAATTGAGTTGTGTTCGGATTTAATTTAATTTCTACTATTGTTGCGTTTATTGTGAAGTTGGTTGATTGGATATTACGTGTTGACAAATTGTATTTGTTAATCGCGTACCAACTAGTGGTATTGCCTTGTAGCGTTTATCAACGTTCAATGATAGTCTTTAACCAATCGAACTTGAGTGATCGGGTGAGACAGGATAGATTATACCTAGAGTGTCGGGAAACCATTTTATTGATTTACCTTGCCTTGTAGGTTTAGGGGATCATAGAGGGTGGAGGAGAATTGTGTGAGTTGGTTCGTGTCGAACCAAACCGTAACGGCAACATTTTTATTATAAGTCTTTATTTGTTTTTAATTTCACTATTTCATATTTGCATTTAGTCTATTTAGTTTATTATCATTGCCAATTTCATTTCGCTACTTAAAATACATTAGGTGTTAGTCTTGCTCCTGTGGATTTGATCTGCTTACCGCTACTACGGTATTTAGGTTTAATTTTTAGACTGTGACGATCGGTCTAACAAAATTTTGGCGCGTTCGGGAGCAACGTGCTTTTGACTTTGTGTGTTTGGGTAGTTATTAGTTTTTATTCTAGGTTTATTTAGTCTTTGTTGTTTTGTTGTTTTGTTTGTATTATTTTCTTTCTTGTGATATTTGTTTGGGTGAATTGTTATATTTGTGTCCCATTTAGTTGTCTTTGCATTGTTAGTTATATTTTCTTTTTAGGTTGTTTGCGTAATTCATTTCTACTTTGTTCTATTTTATTTTCATTTTATTTTCATTGGAATAGTTTCATTGTGTTGTTTTTGTTTGCAGGAAAATTGCAATTGGGAAAACACTTTAGCGTGTCATGAGCATTGAAGATCCTGCACATCCTGATTGTGAAATTCTCTAACCTTTGATTTTTCTTTTATTCCTAGGATTTAATTTTTTTCCTTAGTATTAAATTCTTAGGTTGCATTGATAAATTTAGTTGATTAAACATTCTGTTGTGTGAAATTTCATTGAGATAGTTTCGTTAGATTTTAGATTTGTTTTAGTTTGTTTGTGTGGTAGTATATTTGTTTCTTAGGTTTTGCATTTAGTTAATTTTCTTTGGCATGTTGCTGCGTTGCTTGTTGAGCCTTTTGTGTGTTTGGTTGGTGAATGCAAACTAGAAGGTCTTTTAACGAAGAGTTATTACCTTTGAATCTTGAAATTGAACGCACTTGTAAGAAGAATAGAAAACAAGCACGTAGGATGGCTTACCAGGATGAACCCGCACATGTGGCTCCTTAGCCAACATTTCGCATCCACCATACACTTAGCCTATGTATCCATATCCCCAATGTCCAGACACAGCCACTATGAGATCAACTAGGTCATCAATTGTTGCCAAATTATTATGGGAATTTAAATGAGGAGCCATACAACACTTAGATGATTTTAGAGGTTTGCTCCACAGTTAGACTTCAACATGTGAATGAAGATGTCGTGCGCTTAATTTTGTTCCCATTTTCACTTAAGGATCGAGCCAAACGTGGCCAATTCTTTGGCAGCAGGGTCATTATCTCTTGGACCCAAATGCAAGAAGGATTCCTAAAAAAGTATTACCCATGGTAAAACCAACAGCATACGACGAGCCATTACTAGTTTCGTCAACTTGATGGCGAGGAATTTTATGAGAGTTGGGAACGTTTGAAGGAAATGCTTAGGAAGTGTCCCATCATGCAGTCCCTAGGTGGCAATTAGTTCGTAGTTTCTATGACGGTGACACCGAGAGGCATAGGAATATGGTAGAGCCTCTTGTGGAGGAACATTTATGACAAGGACGAGAAGGTTATGGCAACTCTTCGAGACCTTAAGTGAAAATTCAATGCACCACATTTCTGCGTCTAGAATGTCTATCTCAGGGCAGCAATCCAAGAAGGGTGGCGTGTATGAGGTGTCACGGTTAGATGACATTAGTTCCAAGTTAGAGGTGTTGGCCCACCGATTTGACCAGTTTGTATCTATATAAGGGCAACCCTCTACACAATCATCTCAAAAGGCAAACCAAGATGTTTTTGCCATGCACTCCACTCTTGACCATCCGGTTGAGGAATCTGCCCCTGACCCTTTTGAGGAGCAAGTGCAAGTTGCTCAAGGCTTCCAGAGACGGAGCGATCCGTACTCGAACACATACAATCCTGGGTGGCATAATAACCCTAATTTTTCATGGAAGCCACAACAACCTCAGAATGTCCCTAATAGTATGCCATACAGGAACAATCCTTCTAATCAGCAAGGCAATTATAGGGAGCAACCTTCAATCCAACCACCCATCCAACCTAGGTTCCCACCTCTCGTTCAGCAGCCTACTCCAGTGTCTAGTTCACTAGAATCAATGATGGCTCAAATGCTCCAAACTATGCAGGAACAAAAATCCGACATGAATGCTAGGTTCCAGGATTTAGAGCAGAATACCCAACTTCTACATTCCCATTCCCAATCCATTAGTAAGCTAGAGACCCAGATTGGTCAAATAGCCGAAGCAGTCAATAGGTGTGAACAAGGCCAATTGCCTAGTCAAGTCATTGGTAACCCTAGTGGTTCTTCTCAGCAGAGAGGGTTTTCCGAACAAGCTAAGGCCGTGATGACTCTTCGGAGTGGCCGAGAGCTAATTAGGCCTGAGAGGGAAGTAAAAGTTCAGGGTATAGAAGAGGCAAGTCTAGGTAGGGACCAAGCCAAAGAGAGTGAGAGTGAGCCTCTTGTTGAGTTTAGTGTTCAGAGACCGGGTAAGGAAAAAGTTTGGGAGAATGAACCATCCCCTGCATCGTACATACCGAGAGCACCCTTTCCTCAGTGCTTAGAGCCCCCAAATGTCCCCACTACTAGGAAAAGCGCTAGGATGGATGAAATGATTGAGTTGTTTAAGCAGGTTCAGATTAACATTCCACTCTTAGATGCCATTAAGCAAGTACCTGCTTATGCCAAATTCCTCAAAGACTTGTACACGCAAAAAAGGAAAATGAAATCTCACACACCTAAGACTGTACATTTACCGAAAAATGTAAGTGCGGTTGTCTCAAACCACATTCCCCCAAAGTTAAAGGATCCTGGATCTCCAATTATTTCTTGTGTGATAGGTAATTCACGATTGATAGAGCACTCTTAGACTTAGGGGCGAGCGTGAACTTATTACCCACTTCCGTGTATGAACAGTTTAACTTAGGTGAGCTCAAATCAACTGAAGTCATACTACAGTTAGCTGACCGATCGGTCAAATTGCCTAAGGGTCTAATTGAGGACGTGTTAGTCAAGGTTGAGGAACTATATTTTTCGGTGGATTTTCTTGTCTTAGACATGGAGTATACGAGCAGTGGAAGTATGCCACCGATTATTTTAGGGAGACCTTTTCTAGCAACGGAAAATGCTTGCATTAACTGTAGATATGGAGAGATGGAAGTGTCTTTTGGGAATAGGAAATTGAGACTTAATGTGTTTAATGCTGGGTTAGGACCAATGCGTGAGGACGATAACGAGTGTTTCATGGTTGATGCTATTGATAGTCTAATGGAGGCTCACGCCCCACAGATGTTATGTGATGATGCAATTTACACTCTTATGAATCTATTTGTTAAGGAGATATCTAGCTTGAGTGTCGTGTCTGAGATTCAGGAGGTTAGTGCGTATATAGCTAGGTCGCCCACTCTAGAGTGTCGACCTTGGAACATCAAGTATTAAACCTTAACACCTTTGTCTAAGATGACACAACCGAGGTCCATTGAGTCTCCACCAGTCTTTGAGTTGAAAGCCTTGCCTGATACTCTAAAGTATATTTTCCTAGGACCCAACAAGACCTTACCCGTGATCATTGCCGNGAGAGTGAGCCTCTTGTTGAGTTAAGTATTCAGAGACCGGGTAAGGAAAAAGTTAGGGAGAATGAACCATCCCCTGCATCGTACATACTGAGAGCACCCTTTCCTCAGTGCTTAGAGCCCCCAAATGTCCCCACTACTAGGAAAAGCGCTAGGATGGATGAAATGATTGAGTTGTTTAAGCAGGTGCAGATTAACATTCCACTCTTAGATGCCATTAAGCAAGTACCTGCTTATGCCAAATTCCTCAAAGACTTGTACACGCAAAAAAGGAAAATGAAATCTCACACACCTAAGACTGTACATTTACCGAAAAATGTAAGTGCGGTTGTCTCAAACCACATTCCCCCAAAGTTAAAGGATCCTGGATCTCCAATTATTTCTTGTGTGATAGGTAATTCACGATTGATAGAGCACTCTTAGACTTAGGGGCGAGCGTGAACTTATTACCCACTTCCGTGTATGAACAGTTTAACTTAGGTGAGCTCAAATCAACTGAAGTCATACTACAGTTAGCTGACCGATCGGTCAAATTGCCTAAGGGTCTAATTGAGGACGTGTTAGTCAAGGTTGAGGAACTATATTTTTCGGTGGATTTTCTTGTCTTAGACATGGAGTATACGAGCAGTGGAAGTATGCCACCGATTATTTTAGGGAGACCTTTTCCAGCAACGGAAAATGCTTGCATTAACTGTAGATATGGAGAGATGGAAGTGTCTTTTGGGAATAGGAAATTGAGACTTAATGTGTTTAATGCTGGGTTAGGACCAATGCGTGAGGACGATAACGAGTGTTTCATGGTTGATGCTATTGATAGTCTAATGGAGGCTCACGCCCCACAGATGTTATGTGATGATGCAATTTACACTCTTATGAATCTATTTGTTTAGGAGATATCTATCTTGAGTGTTTTGTCTGAGATTCAGGAGGTTAGTGCGTATATAGCTAGGTCGCCCACTCTAGAGTGTCGACCTTGGAACATCAAGTATTAAACCTTAACACCTTTGTCTAAGATGACACAACCGAGGTCCATTGAGTCTCCACCAGTCTTTGAGTTGAAAGCCTTGCCTGATACTCTAAAGTATATTTTCCTAGGACCCAACAAGACCTTACCCGTGATCATTGCCGCCAACTTAGATAGTGAGAAAGAGGAGAGATTAGTGGCAGTCTTGATAGCACATAAGGAAGCAATCGGTTGGTCGGTAGCCGATTTGCGAGGGATTAGCCCTTCTTTATGCATGCATCGCATATTTTGTGAGGAGAATGCTAAACCGGTGCATGAAGCTCAAAGAAGGTTAAACCCAAACATGAAGAAGGTGGTGAAGAAAGAGGTGATCAAATGGCTTGATGCGGGTATCATTTACCCTATATCCGACAGCCAATGGATGAGTACAACCCATGTTGTACCTAAGAAGAGTGGCCTCACTGTTGTTGAAAATGAAAAAGGTGAACGAATTCCTACCCGTACTCCCACTGGATGGAGAGTTTGCATTGACTATAGGAAGCTTAACCTAGCCACTAGGAAAGATCATTTCTCACTCCCATTTATTGACCAAATCCTAGAAAAACTCGCAGGGCAAGCTTTCTACTATTTTTTGGATGGCTATTCCAGATATAACCAAGTACCAGTTGCCCCCGAAGACCAAGAAAAGACCACGTTTACATGTCCTTTTGGCACATTTGCCTTTCGTCACATGCCCTTCGGGTTGTGCAATGCACCGGCAACGTTTCAAAGGTGCATGCTATTGATATTTTCTGACATGGTGGGTCAATTCCTTGAAGTCTTCATGGATGATTTTTCTGTGTTTGGTACATCTTTTGATGATTGTCTCGAAAAACTTGAGTTGGTGTTAAAACGTTGCAAAGAGACAAATCTTGTTCTTAGTTGGGAAAAGAGCCATTTCATTGTTCAAGAGGGAATTGTCTTAGGTCATGTAGTTTCCAAGGAGGGGATATCNCAACTGGTAGAAGTGTACCCTTCGCTTTGGCGAACAAGGTTTCGACGAATAGTGGTTTGATTAAAACCATGGTGATGGAAGGCTTACTTGACTTAATATACTTTAATTGAGGGTTTTGTTATTTAATGTCTCACCATATTATTATCTTTATTAGAATGACATTGTTTGGCATGTTATTAAACATTCAACCTTAGCATGCATTCTAAACAAAATATTAAACGTGCCGGTACATGGCCTTACTAAAACCGATCTCCTCGAGCCTAGAGGAATCAGTGGGTCAGCTAAGGGTCCTGTAATAAACATCTTGAGTCCTCAAGTATGGTTGCCTCGTCCTTTGCTCCGACTTCAAGTACATTTCAAAAACATCATTCTAAATTTACAATAAAATTAATATTAAACTAATTTTACATCAACAAATTTAGAAACCTCGATTTACATTCAAGGGGAATGAGATGAGAAAATAATGTACATCAAGTAGAGGGGAGAAGGCAGGACACGCAGGCCCTATTTAAAAATATTACAGCCATACATACCCAAAATAATTTAAAACATTCATCCTTAGGTCTAAGGCTCATGTACCGGGTACCATGCAATATACAAACAAGTACAAAGCATACATTTCAAAAATAATCAATTTTTGAATTGGGTGGGTTTATTAATTAATTACCCTCTTAAATGTGCAGAATGTATATTGGCTTTGCAGGTTATTAAAAACTACAGATTAGACCCTTCGCAAAAGAATACAGAATCGGGAAAGCTACAGACTTTGTCGTGGCGAAGGTTTTATCTTGCCGCGGCGAGGAAGCTACAGACATTGTCGCGGCGAAGGTTTTATCTTCGCTGTGGCAAGGTTTTACTATATGACTTTGCCGCCACAGACTTCGCCAATTCGTACAGTTCGCGTTTTTGCAGTTTTTTCGTGTACAAACACGAATCCAAGTCAAATCAAATGCACACACGTTCAACCAGGATATTAACCAACCAATATATCATCCATCAACACATTCTTAAACCAGTTTATCATTTGAATCATTCATCCATAAACAGATTTTGCAGATTTTTCAAAAACAACATGTTATCAACCAAATACATGTTATAAATCATACAATAAACTGTAAAATTTGATACCCAAGGCCCTGATACCACTGCTAGTAAACGACCCAGTTACGTAGCGAAAAACAAAAAACATAAACTCTATGGATCGTTCCTTATAACCAAGATCCGGATACAAAAATCACAGTTTATATAAAATAATCAAATCTGCAGAAAAATCAGTTCAAGGTTTAAGAAACCATACCCACGTTTGGAGGCTCCACCAATGTTGTCTTTGAACATGTTTGCTACCAATCCAAGTGTAGGATTGAACCGTAGAGGTCCACACGAAGACAATCAATAAGAACCAACGAGGGACTTGCTAGATCCTCCTTGGCCTTAAGAAATCAAGAAGAAAACAAAAGAAGTATTTGATTTTCAATGAACCCTTTCCCGGGACAGGCCTTGCGTCATGATGGGATGCGCCCTTTTATCTTTGGTGTTTAGTAATGACCCAGTTACGCAGCGGAAAACAAAAACATAACTCTATGGTTCGTTCTTAAACCAAGATCCGGGTACAAAAATCAAAGTTTTATAAAATAATCAACTTCGCAGAAAAATCAGTTCAAGGTTTAAGAAACCATACCCACGTTTGGAGGCTCCACCAATGTTGTCTCTGAACGTGTTTGCTACCGATCCAAGTGTAGGATCGAACCGTAGAGGTCCACACGAAGACAATCACAAGAACCAAGGAAGGACTTGCTAGATCCTCCTTGGCCTTAAGAAATCAAGAAGAAACAAAAGAGGTATTTGATTTTCATGAACAATAAAAGTGGCGTGGGAGAGTTTTTTGGGCTGGGTTTCTCTCTTTTTTTCAATGAAGAAGAAATATATAATAACACTTATCATTTCAACTAAAATCTTTCTTTTATAGTGTTATTTTAGTTGCCCTATTCCCTATGGAATGGGCTTGGGCCCAACCCAAACACCCCCAATTTGCCAAACACTCCCTTAGATATTTTAATTTAATTCATCATTATCTCAATTAAAATCATTAATAATAAATTAACATTTAACAATAATGATAATTTATTTAAATATATGCGAACATATATTTAAACGGAATTTCACTTATTTAATTTTTTTTCTAACAATTAATAAAGGCTACAACCTCAGCAAATTTAATTGCACTGTGAAATTACCAAAATATCCTTTTGCCCAAAAGAAGAAAACGCCCTTCTTTCTTCTTGAGTCTTAAATTACTTCTATGTGTGTGACCCATAGGCTCCTCATCATACCGGTAGTGTATAGTATCGCGATTAACACCAATTATCGTCTCACTATACACAGACCAAGATTGGCCCCTAGCAAGGCATCATGGTCACCCGATGAATTCGATTCACAAAGTACTACCTGTCAATGATATGGTACCATACAATTCAACCTTTCATCATACGTTATCTCGACGAGACGAAGGCATAGAAATAGTGTCAACCTTCGGTTACTCTCGTATTATTTATTCAGTTTTGGACCAATGACCCATATATAAACTGGATAGAGCAACAACTCAATCCCACTGTGGCCACAGTTTTAGTGTCATGCCATTACTGAATTACGCCGTGAGATAACTTTCCCCTACTCGGGAGTGATGAATCCTCTGTCAATCCACCATAGTCTCGATACACTCCTTGATGCAGCCAATCCCCACTGTATTGACAGCTCTGAAAGACCTGCGTTAGCTAGTGTCAACTAAACCAATCGTGCACAAGGCCTCTTGTTGATCTCAAGTCTAAGGATCACATGCACCACCATTCGTTAGAGGATTTGTTCCATAGATACTGGGGTTACCATCCATCGGAATCCTCTGGTGGGTCAGTCTAGTGAACTTGCTGCGGTGTAATCGCCTACAGCAAGCACCCATGTTTTGCACCCAGGTTGTCACCAAACAACCTTGACAAGTGGAGATCATCATTGTCTTTTGACAGGGTCGTTCAATACTATGTAGCCTTACCGTTTAATGTGCCCTTACTTCAGATAATCTGGGGCTACGACGTTTCTGATGAATGCGTCACCATAGTGCCATAGGGTTCTCACTATCAAGATTTGAAACACTTGATACCCTTCACAGTTCTACCATTCTAAGGACATATATCATACATATTGCAATAATAATGATTTACACGATATAGAATAAAATGCCTTTTATTGATTAATGAACATTATTACAAAGAGTCATTCTATAATAATGATTGGCTCTAGGGCACCTACTCCAACAATTCTCCAACTTGCACTATACCAATCGTTCATGCACATAACACTGAATGACCCAGTCCCTGCACTATAGCCAATCATTCATGCATTCAACATTGAATACCCAAGTGCCCATCATGCTTCTCTACAACAGAAACTTCATAATTTTGGATTTTACAAATCTGCACATTCCCTTTCTTGTCGATCTTTCAGATCAGATTGAATCAACTAAGTAATGGTTGGATTACTGGTGAGACCGTGATTCCTCAGCCACACAATGGTTCCATTGTTATCGCTGCAACTTACTGTAGCAATGCTTGAAATCACATAAGTTCAGTAATGACTTCTTGATCCAAACACCTACACCGGCAATTAAATAATGCGTTACACTTAGCATCAATTGTAAAATTTGCTGCAGTCAACTGATTTGAGCTCTCTAGCTCACTGCAGTCACATTGAGACAAATATGTAATCCGAAATTGCGAACTATAATCATCCTTTTTCCCGTTTGGAAATAGCGTCACATATTCTTCTACAGTGAGTTCATCTTTCCTATCAGGAATATATATCAAGCCCTTTTCAAGTACTTAAGAATGTCCACTGACACTCACCCAGTGTCATTCACTTGGATTTAGTTGATATCTTCTACT